CGAGCTGGCGCCTCGCTGGCGATTTCATAGAAGTTCAACGGTTTCTTTTCCATAATCAATGTTATTAAATGAACAACACGACAAAAAAAATATATACATATATCACAAACGAAATATTTGGAATGAGTTTGACATGAGTTTGTGTGATGTGTGTGATGGTTTGCTGCTTGTAGTGGCCTGCTCTAACATTAATAAATATCATTTCTTGTACTCGAACAGATCCCCGCCTGTCAGTGGAACGATATGCCTGCCATCTGTATACGGAAGTGTTGCGCAAGTTGCCCGCCGTGGTGCGCAAATGGTGGAACACCAGCCAATCCAGACAGAAGAACTTTGTGGACAATCTAACATCGAACTATGTGAGCTCTCTGATCTGCACCGAGGAGCTGAAGGCAATCGTTAATCGCAAGGAAAAACACGAGAACATGCAGGTGGGCATTCGTTTCACCTGAACTCCTAATGTATGTGCTTCATTTAGACCTTCTCCTCGATGCTCATGCGCAACGCAAACACCACAATAATGCTGATGAGCAACAGAATAATGACTACGGCTCGAAAGATCTCTAGCGGCACCATTCTGTAGCTGCGATAGTTTTGCCGCGCTTCGTTCACGATCGGTGTATAGGAGTCGTCCGGCACTAAAGGTCCAAGAGCAATGAGCACATTAATTCTCGAGCGAGTTGTTTTGATAGCGCTACGATCGTTTGTCATCTGTGGTCGTTCAATCGGTTTGGGTTTTGTTTTGGGTGGAATTCGGCTGAAATATATATTATATATATGTAGATAGTAAACTTCACAGAGCTCTTTGATTATTATTATATTTCGTTCGCTTTCCTTTACAGGTGACTGTGCACACGTCCACTCGAGAGGTCTTGGCCGTCTATGCCATTGACGAGGCACGCATGGAGCTGGTCATTACGCTGGCGCCCAACTATCCGCTCGGCGCCGTTAAAGTCGAGTGCGGCAAGCAGATTGGCGGCCGGGCCAATTCACGCAATGTTGGCATGCAGCTGACCATCTTTTTGACGCATCAGGTGAGTGAGGAACTGGAAATATAAGAATTACAAATTTTAATATGGATTTCAATTGCTTTGTAGAATGGCACGATTAATGACGGTCTCACGATGTGGAAAAACAATTTGGATAAGAAATTCGAGGGCGTGGAGGAGTGTTATGTTTGCTATACGGTCATACACCAGGACACCTGCCAGCTGCCCAAATTGACGTGCAAGACATGCAAAAAGAAGTTTCACGGACCCTGTTTGGTGAGCTCAAARAGCTTCTTCGCCCATTGCAATTCAATCTATAATCCTTGAATTTCTCTTACAGTACAAATGGTTCACCACCAGCAGCAAATCCACCTGTCCAATTTGCCGTAACGTCTTCTAGAGCATCTGCTTCCTTGCTACACTTTTTGGCGACACGTATTAATCTAGGCACAAGAGAAACATTGCTGTTAGTCAGCTGTCAAATTTTTCGGGCTCTATCTGTAAATCAGTAACAATAAATTCGCAATAGTTTTAAATTACATAATTGTTATTATTATTATAAGTAAAGGTCGAGTAGTATCAACATCTCATCAACCTAGTAGGCCATGCTGGCAACGAAACTCTTTGCCCACTGATATATAATTTTCTTATATTACTCTCGATATTTGACACGCTCAGACCTAAAAGCGAACGGAACATTTTTCAAATCATAAAATTCGTGTGAATATTTTTTCTTTGTCTCTCTCATAAAAATGGCTAAGCAAATGAAGATAATCGGCAGTTGTCCGTTTTGTCAACGTGAGGTTGGCAGCGATATGCGTCCCATTAACCAACTGAATATGGAACACATCACTATACTGGCCAACGAGCTCAAGGATCTTCAGCCAGCTGCATCGAATGAGTGCCAAACAAGTCACCATAGCACGACTGCAACAATGGGTTCCAATAYCGAATCGAATGAGGCCAAATCTGTATCACTTCTAACGGAAGCTATGCTGAAAATGGTTAAGGAGGAGTTTGAGCGTCCTGCAGGCGCTGAGGTAAATTTCCAACAGACTTCAAAGACTCTCTTTTATTTTGTGTGATTTTTGTTCAGCGTCAAATACCTGGCGATCATGCTGAGCTCATTCTGGCCATGCTCTCCGAAGAGCAGAATTCCTATGATAAATTTTTGAAGAATGAAAGCTCTAGGTCCGTTCCGAAGCGCTCCAGGAAGTAATAGTGCCAGCAAAGCAACTCGAATCTTCCCCTCAACTCAATTCACAAAATTTACAGTCTGTGCTGATCCTCTTTCCATGTTGAATACCGCTGTTATTGTGAGACGCTGAGCCGTCATTAAATATAATTTTCATAGTCGTTTGATTAAATTGTATTTGTCTCTTT